TGCGACAGGCACTTGAGGATGGCAGAAGCGAAGAGTGTCGGAAAATGTGCGAGCTTAGCGTAGTCTTGGGGCCCGTAACAGCGTAGTCTTGGGACCCGTAACAAAATGGCAGCCGTGGATGTAAAAAATTAACGCGAAACCCATCCGTAACATTGAATTCCGCCATTCAAAGATATGGAACGCAAGCTAGGCATGAACGGCCCCAGGTTGAAAAAAGTGTTTCCGTGTTTCGCGTTTATTGTTTACATTTTCGCGGGCAGCTGCCGATCTTGCCCTACCTGGAACTCGCGGCCTTTGAATGGCGAAATCCAATGTTATGAATAATTTTCGCGTTTATTGTTTACATCCACGGCCTTCCGGCAAAACTAACTTAGTATCCCTAATGCGCTACCTACGTGATATTGAATAAACGAATAGTAGCCAGCGTGGCCCCCGAACGTCGATGTCTTGCAACCCGCGCGGTGCAATCTAGGCGGTGCAACGTATGCTATGCAACCTAAGTAGCGCGAGCCACGCAGTGCAGTTCATGCAACGCACAGCGACGCCAAGCAACACTAAGCAATGCAAAGCAACGCAAACCAAAGCACAAAATTGCCTAGAGCTGGCTCCGGGCACCCAAAATGTGGCCTGGGAATTGTGTTCTGGAAACACGAAGAACACAAAGTGGCCTACAGTTGGCTCCGAGCAGTCACGATGTGGCCTGGGAATGGTGTTCTGGCAAGATGCATCGTGATTCCGGGCAAGAGTTTCACACTTTCCAACGTTATGATTTTTTGTATCCTAGCTTGGCTAAGACGAAACGAACATGAAAGCCACGAAGTCCGATAGGGTTGCAACTTTCCAACGTTATGAATGCCTTTTTGGAGCTCTGGTGCAAGACTTCCTGACAAAAACGATGCCGCTCGTAACGTTGAAGCTTCTTGAATAAAGAATATTTGAATATTCTTATTTAAGCGTTTCCAACGTTACGAACGGCGTCGTTTTTGTGAGGAAGTCCTGCACCAGAGCTCCAAAAAGGCATTCATAACGTTGGAAAGTTGCAACCCTATCGCACTTCGTGGCTTTCATGTTCGTTTCGTCCTAGCCAGGCTAGGACACAAAAAATCATAACGTTGAAAAGTGTGAAACTCTTGCCCGGAATCACGATGCATCTTGCCAGAACACCACTCCCGGGCCACATCGTGAGTGCCCGGAGCCAACTGTAGGCCACTTTGTGCTCTTCGCGTTCCCAGAACACCACTCCCAGGCCACATCTTGGATGCCCGGAGCCAACTCTAAGCAATTTTGTGATTTGCTCTGACATGAACAAACCATGGTGCACCACACGAATAAAATTGAGCGCAGTATGTCTTGATTTTGTGTTGGTGCGTTGTCTCGACACGTTGATTTTTGTGTTCGTGCGTTGAGGTTTCCATTGTGCGTGGACGTGCTGTACGGCGCACAGTGGAAGCCGCGTGCTGACCAAATCGTTGATATAATGTCATCATCATTTCAGATGTTGGGCAATTCGTTGTGGTATTCGTTAGCTTCTCCAGGATGAGTTATGGAAATCGTTGATTTCGCCATGGTGAGTTGTCGAAGTTGTTGGGTCCTTATTTGACGTGTCGATGCGATCGTCGGTGCATGTCGGCGCTCGCATTCACAGCGATTTCGACAGGGCGGTGGTGCAATTTCAACGCATCTCCCAACGCAGCACGAGGCGAATGACGAAGTTCTCCCACCAGCGTTCTGGGAAGCCTCCAGCGTTCTCACATTCTGAGAAGCCTCCAGCGTTCCGAAAAGCCTCCAGCGGACCCCAACGTAATAGACCCTCTCCGTCTGAAAAGTGCCCACCGTTCTGAGAAACCTTAGGCCTGAGAGGGCCCGGGTCTCCAACAGCCCCTCAACAATTCTAAGAGTATTCGCCCCTTTTCGGCCCAAAACATAACATTTTCATCGGCCCGAACCACGCACCAGGCTTTTTAGTCCGTGCGCCATGGACAATGGGTTGGGGACATTGCGTTCTCCTGGAATCGGACCCGGACAGCTCCGATGGTGGCGCGGATGCTGGCGCTGTTGTTGCTGCGTCTGCTGCGCCACCAGCACTGCCACTGCCGGCGCCAGCAGCACCGCCAGCGCCAACGCCAGCACCAACGCCAGCACCAGCGCCGAAGAGACGAGGGCGCCCGTCAGGCGCTGTGCCCGGGACTCCGCCCCTCATCCTTGCCCCTTTGACTTTGACAGCACCGCCAAGGGGAAGTGGGGCGGAGGGGGCTGTGGTGGGACAAGGGACAACGAACACGGACACAGGATTCCTGTTTCCCCGTCCCTCCGCCGCCCCTTTCCGCTTCCCCTCCCCCTCCCCTCCGCCTCCCCGGGGCCCCCGCTGCCCCCAGGCAGCACGTCGGCATCGAAGGAGGCCCGAGCTTTTTCCGCTCCGGCCGCGCCCCCTGCAAGGAGGCAGAGGACAGCGAGTGGTAGATTCGCGGCTGCCAGGGCGCCTGTCCTCGCGGCAGTGGCCGCGCCGGAGGCGGACGCGGAGGCCAGCTCAGCGCTGGCGTTCGATGACCTCGTGGCGCTCAGCCGCGCCGAACACCACAGCGCGAGGCCCCGTCGCCTTGGGGGGGTGAGGGAGGAGGAGGAACAGGAGCCCAGGGAACAGCAGACTAGGGCCAGGGGCCAGGGGGGAGACGAGGCGACGAACGACGACGACGATGATGACGATGACGACGACGCGCGACGTGACGAACGAGGAACGACGAAGGACGAACGACGACGACGGACGACGAACGACAGGCGACAAACGCTGGACGACGGACGACGAACGATGGACGACGGACGACGGACGAAAGTCGATAGACGACGGACGACCGGCGACGACGACGACGACGACGACGACGGACGACGACCGCGACGGACGACGACGACGACGACGACGACAACGACGACAACGACTACGACCACGACGACGACGACGACGACGGACGACGATGACGAGGGGCTCAAGGCCCTTCGCACGACGCCGAGCCGAGGTGGGAACCGTCCTGGGAACCTCGAAGCTCGAGGTTTTCTGGCCCTCAAGGGCCCCCCTCCATTGTGCGTTTGGACCCTGGGTCCAGGGGCCCATTTTGAATGGATTTGGGCTTCCTTCCCCTCCTCGTCCTCCCCGTCCTTGCCCTCCCCATCAGCCCTGAACCCTCCTCTCGTCGCACTGCCCGGCCCCCCATCCCCTCCCCCTCCTGCCTCCCCCTTCCGTGCCCCCTCCCCTCCACGCTCCACGCTCCATTTCCTGCCCCTCCGCCCATCGAGGCCGAGGCCCGAGTATGTCGTCGCCGCTGACGTCACTCGACTTGCGGACGGACTCCTAGATTCTATGCGTCGCCAGCGGCCGAACACGTTAACCGCGTATGTTGCTCCGAGGAAAGTTCCAGTCGTTCGAGGTTTTCTGGAAAGCTGGTCCCCCCTCTCGAGCATGATGGCAGAGACAGTTGCAGCGGGCTTCAAGAATCGGTCCCTCATTCCCAGAGCTTCTATTCAAGCGGCAGCAGCTATCTTATTACAGCAGCGCGCTGCGTTCGACAGCGCCATCCGGGTCCTCGACTCCTTGGTCAGGCTCCAAGTGTTGGAACACAGGCGCTGGCCCCCGCCATTTGTCACGCCCCCAGGGAGATGGAGTAGGGGCGCGGCTCCGAGCGAGGAAGGAGGACGACGGTCCTGAGGGCCAGAGGCCCTGAAGAGGGGACAGGTGGGACCAGGTAGGAAGCAGAAGGGCGAGGGGACAGAAGATAAAGGGAGCCGGAGAGAGTGGAGAGAGGAGAGAGGAGAGAGGAGAGAGAGAGGAGAGAGGAGGGCCCTGAGGGGGGATACGGATAAAAGAGAACCGTGCCGCGCGCTTTCGGGCCCCGTCCCCGGGGCGGCGCATTATGTATTTCGAAAGCGTCATGTTCGATGAGAGCCCCCTTCTCCTCCGCAGTGCCGGTGCCAAGGGCCGACAAACGGACGCGGGGCTTCCAATTGAACCGCCACTCAGTCACTGAGTCTCAGCCTATTCAGCCAATCGGGCCAATCGCAAATCGAAAGCTTTTACCTCCTGTCCTGCACTTCTCCACCTCGGACCTCGCACCTGCCCCGGGCCCATGCCCCGCGACAGGGACCCGCCCGCGGTGACCCCCTCTCCCCCCCCCCCGCCCCACCCCCAAAACAGGCGGCGTAAGCGGCCGTGGCGCCATGTTTCACGTAATTGGAGGTCAGTGGTCAGGGGGCCAGGGGCGCCCATCTGGCCCTGGTGGACGCCCTGGCCCTGGACTCCCTGGACCAAGCCCTGGCCTCCTGGCCCCGTGACCACCGGCGTCGTGAAACATGCCGTCGCTGCGGACTATGTTCTTTCCCCCTTGCCCTTGCCCCCTGCCAGGGGCTTGTTGGCGCGTCCAAGATCGTCCAGACAGAGCGCACTGGGGCACTCATAATCAAACATGTACCTTCCCAGAAGATTATGATATTCATGTTTCCGTTTGTCTGTGCGCTCCAACACGTTGACCGATGCACGGGCGAGACCGTGATCCATTGCCTTTTTGAGCAGTTGAGTCTACCTGAGGTGTTGGAAGCTGGTTCGTTCCCCCGGCGGGCTCTCTTGGTGTGCTCCGACGACGCCAGCTCCAATAACAGAGCGCAACGGTTTTGGGAGTCGACGGTGGGGCTCTCTAGCCGGGTCCCATGTCAAATTCACAAGATGCAAGCAGTTATGAAGAGAGGTGCTTCCGTTTTTGATGGCAGCATCAGTGGATACCTCAATTTCGCACTGGTTTTGGGACAGGTCCTCTTGCCTCCAGCCCCTCTTTTCTGGGGCATGTCCTCCTCTCTTTTCCTCCCCCCCTCCTCTCCTTTCCTCTTCTTCCTCTAGGGTCCCGAGGTCCAAGGGTCCGAGGGTTTGGAGAGGGCCGCCTCCCTCCCCTCCCTCCTGGTCCTCCCGCTCATCTCCCATCCCTTATCGCTTATCCCCTTTGCCCTATAGGCCCTATCCTTCTTCCCCCTCGTCACGACCTGAAATGCCCCGCCTCAGTCCTCCTCCTTCCCTCCTCTGAGTATCCTCCACTCCTCCACTTTCCTCTTCCCTAGTTCCTCCTTCTGCTTCTCCTCATCCTCCTCCTCTTTCCTCCTCCCTCTCCTTCCCCCCCATCCTCGCCGTCCTCTTGCTTCCTCCTTTTCATTTTCCTCCCCCCCCTCTTTCCTCTGTCCGCCTTCCCGGTCCTTCCCTCCTCGTACGTAGTCCTCGTCGTCGTCGTCGTCCTCCACCTCCTCCTCCTCCTCCTCCTCCTCCTCCGCCTCCTCCCCTCCCCCCTCCTCCTCCTTTTTCCTCCTCTTCCCCTTCCGCCGGAGATCCTCCGCCCCCGTCTTCCTCCTCCTCCTCCTCCTCCTCCTCCTCCTCCTCCCCCTCCTCCTCATCAACTTCCCTCTCCTCCTCCTTCTCCTCCTCCTCCTCCTCCTCCTCCTCCTCCTCTTCCTCCTCCTCCTCCCCCTTCACCCTCCTCGCCCTCCACCGCGCGGTGGGGGGGGCGCGCCCCCTCCGCCCCGCTCCCCAGGGGTCCCCAGGTCGGTTGGCGGCAAAAGTTCAACGAGATCTTGGAGAGCGTCGCTCTCGGGAGGTTGGTGATCGATTACGGCCCGCCTCCCTCTCCAGAGTCACCAGCAGGCGTGCGGCGCCAGAGCATCTTGAAATTGCATGTCTGGGCCCGGAGTGATTTGAGCAAGGGATCGGCCCAGTTTCGAAATGAGGTGTACTGTAAGCTGCTCAACGGAGATTTAGGAAATCCGAAGAACGAACGCCAACCTAAACGAAAGTTTTTGGAGGTCCGCGCGGATTCCTTGGATCGGCGCCAGACTTTCCTGGCGGCGCTTCGGGGGCCCCTTCGAGCGTGCCAGGGGCGGGTGGGGGGGTCCAGCGCTGACCCAGGAAATCCCCGCGGACCTTCGAAATCTTCTGAGTGAGTCGTTTTCTGTTCTTCGAGACGTACATCAGAGGTCGTGCACCATTGCCGCGGTTGTTGCCGGGACAAAGCGCACACAGAAGAGAAGTTGAAAACGTATTTCCTGCCATTTCTTGGCCATCGCATCAAACGATTTTGCAGAAGTAAATGGACGGGAACGGAAAACGGGTTGTCAGCAGCATTGTTAGTGGAGGCCACACATGGTTTATTGTCTCATGCGGTCAAAGAGTTACTTGGCCCAGGGGCCCCAGACCCAGGCACTGCAATCGAAGACGCGCGACCGCAGGAGCCAGTTGAGGCAACCACTCATGTTCCGGGGGCAGACGAGGAGGATTGGAAGGCCATGACGTCCCGTTGGTTACGCTCGTCCAAAGATTGGATCTATTCTGATACCGGGCTTGTTGAGTTGGCAGCTTACAGAGTTATCCAGATGCCTGCGGCCAGACCCCAACATGTAACATGCGCAATGCAATGCAAGCCGAAGCCTGCTCGCTGGCGCCGCGCCGCGCGCTGGTTGGGCGGCGACACGACGAACGACGACTACGACGACGACAGTGACCACGACGAGGGACGAGGACCGGACAATGGCGGCGGCGGCCGCGGCGACGACGACGACTCGACGACGTGACGACGACGACGGCGACGACGACGTTCGCGACGGCGGCGGCAGGGACGACGACGACGGCGGACGACGACGACGACGACGGACGACGACGACGACGACGGACGACGACGACGGCGGCGGCGGGCGGCGACGACGTCGACGACGATGACGACGACGACGACGACGACGACAACGGCGGCGCGGCGTCGGCGGCGGCGATGGCCCCCAGGACCCCCAGGGCCCCAGGGCTTAGCGCCGGGCCTAGCCTAGGGCCTAGTAGGGCCTAGTCACTAGTCACTAGTCCCTAATCCTTAATGTCCTGCCCCAGGCCCGGGGCCCCAGGCTCTGAAGCCTTTGCCGCGATCCCTTTGACCCCCCCAGGTCCCAAGTCTTGAGTCCCGAGGCTCTGAAGATTCCATGCGCCGCGCCCGCGGGGGCGCCTTGGGGGGCGCCTCAGGCCACCCGGGGCCCTGGGGGGCCCGAGACTCAGGAGAGGGGCTTTCAGACTTGAGACTTGCGGCCCCATGGCCCCGCTCAGTATGTGCGCGGTGGCGGATTGCGGAGGGGCGCCAGCTCGCCTTGAAGCGCATGCTCGTTGTGTCCTCGTTGCGGTGGGAATCCGCCCAGAAGCGAAAGGAGAGCGACACTGGCTCCAGGTCTTATCAGATTCTTCTGCGGCATCAGGGTTGGTTCACATCCCCAGCGCAGCAGCACTACGGCATGTTGTGTTCGAGCGGCAATGCAGAGGCTTTGATGTTGTGGAGCTGCATCCACCCTTCCGGCCGGACGTCTGTCATCAGGTGCGCATCCTTCCGTTCCTTGGCCAAGAGCGCAGCTACCTTGTCATATTTGTTGGCGTGCCCAGAAGCAGATACATTTCCATTCAAATTGTTTTCCTTGTTGCAAGCAGACTTGTCCAACGATCAGGTTGTCAAGTTGGGCCGCGAGTGGTTGAAGCGGCCATGCTTGCTTGATCCAGTTTCGAAAGAGTACCTCGCTCGTTACCAGGGGCGCGCATT